GTACTAAAGAGATAGAGAATAAAAAATCAATAAATTCAATTCTAAAGCTATTAATTATTGATTTACAAGATATGATAATGTAATTGTAATAGTCTTCAAGTCAAAAAATTAGAAATAAATTCCTTAAAAAATAAAATGTTTTATTTTAAATAAATAGAGAGATATAATATGTTTGATAATATATGTGATTACTACTTCTTGTCGAGCTTATACTTACAAAAATAAAATGGCGATATCACATACATACATATTTACTTAGATAAAAGGAGTTAGATAGAAGTAAATAAAAGCAAGTATATTCAATAATATCTTATGGAGAAGCTTCTTAGAAGCTATATAGACTTAAATTTGACTTTAAATGTGTTTATAGGTAATTAATAGGTTAAAAACTTGACCAATAAGTTGGCTACCTATTGCACATGTTGGTGAATTGTGGTACAAGTTAGGCACATGTTGAAAGACCTACACAATGTTGCTACATAGTTCCAAGTTAGATTTTATATATAGAGACAAGAGTGAAGTTTTGTTCATTCTTATCAAAGCCTTTCTTATTCATTGTTTTATTTCAAGAGTTTTTAGTCTCTTGTATTTGATAATAGTTATTTTAGTCTGAATATTAAAGTAATTATCTATTCTTTTTTAGTAATACAAAAGTGTACTAATCCTTTGATTCTTTGAAATTCATATCTTTGACACTTTATAAGTTATATAATAGATGTATAAGTAAACATTTGTATAATTATAAGCATAAATATATTGGATGTATTTGTGAAACTATACTTAATTAATTGGTTATAACAAAGCTTATTGAAACTCAAGTGGATTAGAGTCTCAAAGTTTGAATTTTCAAAGTCATTGAAGATTTTTTTGGCATTACGCTATTTGTTGGTTAGATTGAAATGAGTTTTTTTTTTTTTTGAATTGATATTTGAGATAGTTTCAAATATTTATGCAAACTTAAAGAGCAAGTAAACATTTTAAAAAAAATCTATTGATGCTAGAAGATTGAAATCAATATTAAAAAGAAAGATATCTGATACTAAAATAAAATAAGATTTAAAAAAAAATAAGATTAATTTTCTTTAAATTTTGTGTATATTTTTAATTGAAATATTAAAAAATTAAAAATTATTAAATTATAATTGATATTTATTGATTTTTTAAATTTATTATAAAAATTATTTAGGGTTGGATTAGGATTTTTTAGAATTTATTTTAAATTTAGTTAGATTTGATTAAAATTTATCCTAAATTTGATTAATATTTATTCTAGATTTAATTAATATTTATTTATTTTTAAAAATTTTAATTAGGATTTAATAAGATTTTTATTAGGTTTTAATTAGAATTTATTTGAAAATTCTTTAAGATTAATTTATGATTTTTCTATGATATTTTAGGATATACTAGAATTTCTAAATGATTTCTATTGGTTGATTATGATTTATTTAAGATTTGATTAGAAATTTTATAGATCGTTTAAGATTTTTTCAAAACTTATTAGAATGTGATAAGATATTTATAGGATTTTTTAAAGATTAATACGGTGTATTCAACATAAGTGAAAGCTTATTTAATTTGTTCAAGATTACAAAAAAGATTTCTCTAAACACCTTGTATATAGTTTTTGAGTTATAAATCAAATTTCAAGACAAGATCGAATCATTCTAGAGTAAAATGTCAAATACATTCTTAGACTGATATTTATATAACATAGCACTGCTTGTGCAAGGCCTTGTCCAACCCAGCTTTTTATTCTAACATACTCATAAAATAGAAATGAAGTTGAAGAGAAGAAATAATAATGAACTAAATCAAAAAAATCATAGTAAGATAATAATTAATTAAATCATTAATATTAGACTACAATGTAATTTCTAAAAAATCTAATTAACTAATATAATTACAAATGTGAAAATAATCAACCACCTTGTTATTGGAAGGGTTATTTTTACATTTTTTAAATTGAATGTTTTATGATTTTATTAGGTTTTATTAGTTTTTTAAAATGATAATTACTTAAACTTTGATAGGTTTTTAATTTCTTAATATATAAATCATTAAGTAATTATAATAAAATCTATGTTATTATTTAAAATAAGATTCAAAATCTATAATTTTTTCAATAAAATAGGTAATATTTAGACTATATAGTTTAATCATGTAATTCGAAAAAAACTTAAAAATTAAAAATATATTTCTTAATATTATAATTTGGATTAGATAATATTTATAAAAATTAATTTTATTTTTAGTTTTAAACTTTAAAATCAAAATTTATTCTTACAAATGTTAGATTTTAGCAACTATAGAATCTAAAATAGGTATTTTAATTTAATCATAGATTACATTTAAAACTTACTTTAAATATGAACTTACTTTAACTTTTTAAGATTTTAAACCTACAATCAGAACTAAGATAAATCCAATTTTAGGATCAAAAAATTAATCTTTTAAGATTCATATGTATTTTATAAGTTTTTAAAATATTCTTAGAACTAAAAAATTTTATATAATTAAGAAGAATAGAATTATATAATATACTTAAATGATTTTATTAGTTTATTCAGTAAATACAAAAAAAATTATGATAAGATCTAACCTATTATGAAATCAATTTTATAATCTTAATCAATTAATTAGTAAAGGATAATTAATAATTATATGTTAATAAACATCTATTGATCAAAATTTATTTAATAGATAGTCACTTTACTCTAAAGATAATCTAGAGATTATTTTAATTTTTGTGTCTAAATAATTGCGTAATCATTATATTGCCTAGCTATATTCAAATTCAAATAAAACTTTATCAATCATATAAGTAAATTTATTTTATTTTATTCTAGCTAAAAATATTATTTTAATTTAATATATTGGTCTTAAATCATTTTAATAAAAAGATAGAAAAATATTTTTGAAATTATTTTTAAAGAAAAGCTCTACTTTTATATAAAGTAACATTAATAATTAATTAGAAGTATGTAAAAAGTTTCAAAATTTTATGATTTTGATATGTAATGTTTTTATATATGAAAATTTGGCTTAACAATTATTAGCATCAAAGTTGAAGATCTATACACCACAATATGAAAATAAATTATTATGCTTCTTTTATTGTAATTAAACATATTTTAGAAAGTCTTTAAATTGGGCATAGTGTACTTATTTCTTTATTTTTTTATATTTGGTATTTGGTACCATAAACCTTCCAATCTAATACATAAGATAGAATTATTAAAAAAGTAAAGAAATAAAATAATTAATCACAAGATGAAAAAAAAAGAAATTAAATCAAATTAATTCAAATATCTATGTCAATTAATCAACTTGCATTTTTGAGAAAGAAAACTTTCAATATTCAAATATTAAATTTGATCATTCACAAACTTACAATTGTATTATAGTATTTGGTATTTTTGAGTTGTAAAATCTCAAAAACACTATACTAATTCTTCTACAAATATTTAACTCCAGAAGTTCACTAATTTATGTAACATGTGTTTTCTTAACAAAAAGGTTTATATTTAATATTTTCGAAAAGAATGTTTTGCAAATTAAGCCATGTTTATTACTAAAGTATGCCAAAAATTGGATAAAAAACTAACTCTCTCAATTGATCAAATATTCTACATGAAATGTGTAAAAATTTAGTGACTGAAAATTCGAGTTTATTTTGAATTTATGATTATCTCAAGTATGTATATATATATATATATATATATATCAAAACTTTTTTTTTTTTTTTTTTTTTTTTTTTAATCTTAAATTTTGACATAGTGTAAAAAAATCTTACCTTTTTCAGTTTTATTCATTTAGGTAGAATAATCTTCTTATCCTGGCTTCTCTTGCAAATATTTGTTCTTTGATTCTTTTATTGTCTGCAAATAATTTCTGCAATTGGATATTAACATTACAGCCTTTTTAAGCCAACTTTAATTATAGAGGGTTGTAAAGGGGTTAGGATTTGTACAGAAGACTAGTAATTTTGTGTCACATGATTCATGGAATTTGAAGAATATTGAAGCTTGTATAAAAATAATTTCTAGATGGTAGCAATAAATAATTCATGACATGAGGAAACCTAACTACTTATTTATTTAAGATTTATCAAAATTGGTTTTATATGAAATGTGCATTTATTGGACCAAATATCAAGCATATATATCTATATATATATATATATATATATATATATATATTGTAAAAATAATATTTGAGTGGTCACCTCCATAATTTTGAATACTAAGAATAAATATATTGCAATAACGAAGACAACCAAAGAATCAATGTGGCTTTCCATATTATTGTGGAGCAAAAAATTCCTTTAAAAAATAGCCTACACAACTTAATCAGACAACATAACAACCATATAACTCATTTGAGATCCAAAAAAATATGTCCAAATCAAATACTTGATCTTAATATCATTTTTTTTTTTTGTTATTTTTAATTTAGAACACATTTTACATATATATATATATATATATATATTTCCATACGATGTTTTTTCATGTATCACAGATAGTCAAAAAAACATTGATTGATTTATACTAGTTCATTATTTCAATAAAAAAAAATCATTCAATCTTTTATAAAAAATCTTCTAGCAGATTCGATTTTTTAGAAGCAGAATCTATAATTCAAGGAACTTTAACAAAAGAAGAATTTCACAGTATACTTGACAAAAGCACTATCGAAAATACCTACAACCAACAGAAGCTATTCAAAAGGATCCACATGGAACAGATGGGTAATGAAAATTTCAACTGCCAAAAAAAGCACAACTGAAGTGAGCTCTCTGTCTTGGATGCCACGTTCCGCGTCCTGTTGATATCTTGTACACGCGTGTCGGTAGTTTGTGTTTGTGTTTGTGCGTCTTTCCCACGCAGATTTCACATCTATAAAAGCTTGAGCTGGGTGGTCTCTCAGCAGTGATCGCAACACTTGCTGGAAATTAAGCAAATAGAAAGTTATAAGTTTAGTATGATCAAATTTCGATCTTTGTTTCGACGTTCTGTCGGGCTTCAATTAAGTTGTCCAAGGTTTAGAGAAGTTGGAGTTGGAAATTTTGTTGGAAGCGCTCTCTGCGTTGTTAATATCTTATCGGGAGTGTGCAGATTGAGCATCCGTCGACGGGCTGAATTTGAAGTTTGTAGAAGAGGTTGGATAGCAGGAAGATGAGTCGGTTGTGTTTCATCGTGGTGGGTAGCATTCAAGACTTCCATACACCCCAATATGCCCCACTCCAGGGGGTCGCCGTGACGGGTGTGATTCATGACGCAGTAGCGGAGTACACGCTGGTGCAAACTTACAAAAATCCGGTTCAGGATGCTGCCGTTGAAGCGGCCTACACTTTCCCTCTGTACGAGGGCGCGGCAGTGGTGAAGTTTGAGGCAGAGGTCGATGGCCGGAAGATCATTGGCAAGGTGCGGGAGAAGAGTGCAGCGAAGAAAGAATATCAGGAGGCCGTAAGTGCCGGAAAGACGGCCTCCTTGTTGGACCAGGAGAAGCCTGACGTCTTTCAAACTTCCATTGGCAACATTCCGCCGGGGAAGACGATCTCCATTCGCATTACTCTTGTGTCCGAAATCAAACAGGATGCGGGAGAGAATCAAGTGCGGTTTGTTTTACCGACCACCGTCGCGCCTCGGTATGGCGCAATTGGGTTTTTCGGTAACCCGATCACACCTCCTCCCGATTCTTCTGCCAAGCTTTCTATCAATATGTCTTGTGCCATGTCGAAGCCTATCACCTCGGTTCAGTCACCATCCCACACTATTGAAGTCCACCTCGGCACAACAGACACTGTAGATCCTGCTCATATCTCCACCTTCAATCCGAACCAAGCCAGAGTGACCCTCACTGTAGATTCTCTTCTCGATTGTGACCTCGTCATTGTAATCAATTCCTTGGGGCTAGATCAACCGCGCGCTCTCGTAGAGCGCCACCCCTCACATGGAACTCACGCAATTGCCCTAACTTTCCAGCCCCGATTTGCGCTGCAACCCCTTCGCACTTCTGAAATGATCTTCCTCGTCGACCGGTCGGGGTCAATGATGGGCACACAGATCAAACAGGCTGGCGAAGCGCTAGAGCTGTTTCTCCGATCCATTCCATTTGAAAATCACTACTTCAATATCGTAGGGTTTGGTTCCAATCATAATTTTTTGTTCCCAACGTCTGTTGAGTACACTGAAGACTCCTTGAAAAAGGCAGTTCATTACGCACAGACAATTCAGGCGAACATGGGCGGCACCGAGATCGCCAACGCATTCTTCGAGGTTTTCCAGCGCCGCCGTCGCAACGTCCCCACGCAGATCTTCCTGCTCACCGACGGAATGGTGTGGGATGCCGAACAGCTTACAAAATCTATCATCGAAGCCGTTGACGATGGTGCTAGGAACAATTCACCTGTCAGAGTGTTCACTCTTGGCGTTGGAAACGCCGTCTCACACCATCTGATCGAATCTGTAGCGAGAGCAGGCGGTGGATATGCCCAGTTGGTCTTGGAAAACGAGCGCATGGAGAAAAAAGTTCTTAATATGCTGAAAGCAGGACTAACACCGTCTGTCACCAATGCCAGCGTGCAATGGTCAGACTGTACTGCAGACGATTTTGTACTGGTTGATGGCGTCGATAGTGTAGATCAAGATGAGCAGAACGACATCAAACCACACATCAACCTATACTCGGAATCGCCGCTTGTGGTTTCGCCTTCAAGTTCGGGTAGCAATCCACCCCCCGAAATCTCCCTTGCAATCCAGCAAGCGCCGTTCAAGATCCCTATCCTGTGCCGCGGCGCCAGATTCACAATCTACGCCATTCTCTCACCGACATCTCCCCTTCCGAAAGAGCTTGTGCTGAGCGGTGATTCCCCGGACGGACTAGTGGAGCTGCGGGTTAAATTAGACTCCGTTGTTGAGGGCGAGACGATGCTACATTCCCTCGCAGCGCGAACCCTGGTGCGCGACTTGGAAGAAGGCTCCTCCCATATCCACGCACTAGGGAAGCCTCTCACAGCTCGCGACGAGCAGATGCTCAAGTCCCTTGGAGTTCACGTAGCGCCAGCAAAAGGCCAGAAACCCCCCATTCTGCCCTTGAGCTTCAGTCATGTCGCACAAATCACGAAGCAGAAGATTGTCGACATTGGAGTGACGTACAGTCTCTCTACGCAGCATACCAGCTGGGTGGCTATTGACGAAGAGGGCACCCTCAGCTCACACGAAGTTCCAACAGTTGCGGATCAATCTCCACAGTTGCAACCCTCACAAACACTAGGGTTAGTCGGTCGGGGTAAAATGCGCTGTGCACCTCCCAAGTCTTTGTTTGGAAGATTTGCAAGCTATCAAAGTCTTGCAGCGTCCCCGTCAGTATTCGGGAACGCTCAGCCAGCCTTAGGAAGCGCACCGCCAGGCTTCGGACTTTCACAGTCGACCTTCGGAAGCGCACAGGCCTTTCAATCTTCACTTTTTGGAGCACAAAACGCTACACCTGAAGCAGGAGGGCCATCTTTATTCGGAGGAGCAAGCAATCAAAGTCCAGTTTCAGCCTTCGGAAGCGCACAGCCAGCCTTCGGAAGCTCACCGGCAGGCTTCGGACTTTCACAGTCGACCTTCGGAAGCGCACAGCCCTTTCAAACTTCAGTTTTTGGAGCACAAAGCGCTACACCTGAAGCAGGAGGGCCATCTTTATTCGGAGGAGCAAGCAATCAAAGTCCAGTTTCAGCCTTCGGAAGCGCACAGCCAGCCTTCGGAAGCTCACCGGCAGGCTTCGGACTTTCACAGTCGACCTTCGGAAGCGCACAGCTCTTTCAAACTTCAGTTTTTGGAGCACAAAGCGCTAAACCTGAAGCAGAAGGGTCTTCTTTATTCGGAGGAGCAAGCAATCAAAGTCAAGTTTCAGCCTTCGGAAGCGCACAGCCAGCCTTCGGGAGCGCACAGCCAGCCTTCGGGAGCGCACAGCCCTTTTCTGGTTTCCAGCAGATGCAGCAACAACAATCCTCACGAAACCTGGATGATGGTGAAGCAAGTGATCTAGCTGATGACCCACATGCGAGGCTGCGAGCTCTCCTGCAACACCAATCTTTCGATGGTTTGTTCCCCCTGGCTCCTTCCATTGCCGCACTCTTCAACACGGTTGTGGACAAATTGAAGGAAATGCTTGGGGAAATTCGGCAGCATTGCACTGGATCGGTGCAGCTCACGGAGAAGCAGTGGGAATCTATCTGGGCAACATGCTTGGCAGTGGAATTCATGAAATCCAAGTTGACAGAGCTTGAAGACGAGTGGGAGCTTGTTGTAGACAAGGCTGAACAGCGAGTGAAGTCCTTGCTTCAGAACAGCGAAGATCATGCTCTATTCCAGGCCTCTGCCAAAACTTTGTAGAGTTCAAACCCCGTAAAATTTTGAGAAAAACATACACACGAATAATTCTGGAGGGTCAAGTCACATCAGTTCGGAGCACTTGTAACTTAGCAGTAAAAAAACAAAAACAGAGAGAAGAAACAGTGTAATATAAATGTTGAACTTAGAAATCAGGATCCAGTTTCAGTGCTGCGGTATACAACAGTTTCCAACGATTGGCGACACTTCCTCCAGATCTAGATACATTAGAATGTGAATATACACAGATGTTTTTTTTTTGTCATGCGGTGTCTTCTCTTCATACAGTTTCATTACTTGGATTGACTTTGGTTTTGCCTCAGCGATAGTTGTGGTGGCATACCATGTTTGGCATTTGTGCAACTGAATGTAAAGGAACTGGAGGAGATTGTTGGTGTAAAACAAAATGATTGTGCTTTGGGAAAAAACAATAGAAAAAAATAAAATTGACCGAACAACAGAAAAGCAAACCCGGAACGTTGGATATTTTAATATTTTCTATAAATTTTACTAGATGAGAGTATTTAAAGTTACTCATCTGGTATTTATTTTTTATTTTTTATTTTGCATAGATATGATGATTAACAAGACATACTCTTAAATGTCGTATAAATTTATATATATATATATATATATATATATATATTTAGTGTTGAAATAAAGCTTTAGTAAATATATTGGTAATTATTATTGGTGCAAATAATGTATTATTTAAAATTTAGAACAAATATATTAATATTGTATCCATGCATTATATTTGATACTAGAAAAAAAATATTTTTCTTTATTTTTTATTTATTTTTTTATTTTTGTTCATAGATATTACATGATGTACTTAAAAACTTAGATATGAGGCAAATTCTTAACAACAAAATATCAATAGAAACAATTTTTTTCAATTTTATGCATTTAAGCACCAACATGCTGAGTAAAAATAGATGAATGATAATTAAAATTACTATATTTAGGAATTTTAGAACCAATTTTATTAAAACCAATAATACGTTGTATATTCATTAAAATTAAATATTCCATTGGAATGTGATTTACTTTATTTTTATTTAGACTGTAGATACTAAAACATAACTTAATAAGTTCTTAGTAAGTTTAAAGATCACCAAAAAAATTAGTTTTGTGGTTTAAAAACCACATATACATGTATTTTGAATAATTATTATAAAATAAAATCAAAATTATGATGTCTTGTCTTAATTTATGTTTATAGACTTCACGAGTATTTTTAAAAAATAATTTCTTTGATCTTAAATAAAAAATAGTTGAATTTTTTTATATGAAATTATCTTTAATAATAGAAGTTTATTTCTTATAAATGATTGTATAGTATCTTAATTACATGAAGAACTTTTTTTCCAAGTTTTTATATAAAAAATTATTTATTTATTTAATATATGATATTTTAAATTTTAATATTTTTTATTAATATTTTTTATTGAATGTTAAAATTTATTACAACTTCTTAGATATGTTCTATATTTTATTTGAATTATAAGATAATTATGTATATAATTTATGAAATATTTGTAATATTTCAAATTTTAAAAATGAATTAAGAAAATAATTTTATACATTGATATAATAAGTTTTTTAAATCTAATACATTATTAATATTAATATCTTATATTATTTTATAAATTGATAATATATTTGTTTTTAAAGCTTTAAATAAATTAAGTTAAGAAAAAATTTAATTTAAATGTTATTATAATTTTTTAAAAATATTCGTCTATAAAAATTAATATAATTAATATGAAGCTATCATATTAACTTATTCATTTATTTTTATTACAAAACATATAAATCTATGAGAAAAAATATCAAGAGTTTGATATGTTTCAAGAATCTATTGCTTATACTTTGATACCATGTCAAAATTGTGAAAGTTATACAAATTATTTTTTTTAATATAAATTATTAACAATTATCTTTGTACAAAAATAATTTTTAAAGACATGAACAACAATAATATTCCAAAAATGATAATACACTCTTATATTACCAAAATAAAATAAAATAAAATAAAATAAATTTAAAGATAGATATAAATTTGAAACTAGAATATCTATTGCCAAATTTAAAAATATTAAGTAGTCTTGAACCAAAATAAAACACAAGAAAAACATTGGCAAGACTGGAAAAGACCTCACTCTTACCTCCATATATACTATCTACTAAAGAACTATATGATGATGTCTTGTAGCGCATATGATACTTGTCTAACTTACACAATGCATGTCTAATTTGTAGGGCGAGTTTTTGGCATGTATGCCACATGGCCAACTTATAATACAAGTGGCTAAATGTGCGACATGTAGCTAGTTTTTTGGTTAAGTTGTCCATCTATCAATCACTTATATATTCATATAAAGATAATGTAGTTTTTAATAAGATTTGCAATCAGATATCAAGAATTTAAACTATCTTTAGATACTACTATTTAGTTCTATTTATCTAATTAAAAATATTAGTGAATACTAGTATTCATTACATTATTTTCTTCTCTCTCCTTCTCTTCCCTTTCTTTTTTGGTGATTATCTTCATAAGAAGTTAAGTCATTGCTTCATAGGTTGGTGATGTCAAAGATATGTCAAATAGTATTAGTAATATATTTTAATCTTTATTTTGCACAATTATTTTATTATTATTAAAATCTTGATATATTCTTTTAAATAATACATTTTATATTATATCACTTATAATACATATCTTTAGTAATATTACTAAGCATCAAGAATTTTTTCTAAGATTGTAATACCAAATATGTGTCAAGGACAAGATCTTGATAAAAACAAATAAATAAGTGAAACTTTTTTCAAAGAAGGATGATAAAATAAAAATAACTAAATATGTATATTAAGAAAAAAACTAGAATGGCTAATGCCAAAAGACAAGAAAACTCGAGACCCTTGAAACTAGATTAGAAGCAAGAAAGGAGTTGACAAGAATGAAGAAGGCTTCACTCTTGCCTCTATATATACTATCTACCTAAGAGTTATGTGGTGACGTTCTATAGGACCTCTAAAAACGTATTGACTTTGCACAACACGTATCTTAACTTGCAAGACAAGCTTTCTATGTAGGAGCCACATAGTTAGCTTGTTCTACAAGCTACCAATATGTGTGGCATGTGGTTAACTTGTTGGCCAAGTTTCTAACCTATCAATCAAGTATAAACACATATAAAGTCAAAGCAGCATCTATGAAGCTTTTAGAAAGCTTCTCTAGAAGATACTATGAAATTAATCTACTTTTATATACTTCTACCTATTCATATCACATAGGTAATAATTACAGTAAATATATGTCTGTAACATTATCCCTCCTTCTAGGGACGAGTTCCATGAGGAGCAGTGATCACATGTCAAAGAAGTCTAAGATGCGGCAAATTGTATTTGCCATATACTTTGATCTTTGTTTTCTTCGAAGATGATTGATGGGGCCTCTCAACCATTGATAAAGTTCAATATCAAGGTAGGAAGACCATCGAGTTATTTGATCGTTGTTGAGGCCTTCATAACTTCCTTCAAATAAAATATTTGGAACACCATCAGAAGTTGTTCCTACTCCTAGTAAAATTATCAAACATCGAGAGTCTCTTCTAATGTTGTGATACCAAACGCTTTGTATCTCGCCATCTATTCGAAGAAAAACATGTCATTTTTGAGGATCTTGATCTCAATTACATTACCTTGAAGGTTGTGACAATTGTAATGTCTAGTCTGGCAAGTCAGCAAATAAAGGCTCTTAAGTCGAATCCGCTCGTTGTTGGTTCTCCATATCCTCAACATCACAACTACAAAGAAGCTACAAACAAGGATTGAAAGTAGAATGTTATCTTACCTAAATCTTGTTTCTTTTATAAGGAAGATTTTTATCTTGATTTAGATGGATGTCATCAATGAAAAGCCTCCACCGCCTTTGTTATATTTGCAAGATTCTTTACTAGCTTCCATGTACATTCACTAATATCATATTCGTGCCAAAAGACAAGATATTCCAATTTATTTCCATGTCGCCTTGAATCTAGGACTTCTTTTACTTCAAACTCTTTATTATTGTCTACTTCTATAGGAAGAGGTAGAGCTTGTCTTCTTCTTGGTATGTCCATTGTCTTGTATGGTTCAAGAATAGACAGGTGGAATACTGGATGGATTTTCATTGACTCCAGTAGGTGTAAGCAATATGCAACTGGATTGATTTGTATAGAAATAAAAAATATTCCAAGCCTTTGATAGTCCAACTTATCACAAAAATGAGTAGTCTTGATATTACGACAAAGTAATCATATCTTATCACATATGTAGAATGGTGGTTGTTCCTTTTAATAGACATCCATATTGATCTTTTCTTGTTCTTGAGCTTCTTTTAACTAGGCCTTCATTCTTGCATGTAACTTTGACAAATGATTTTTCAAATCTTTAGCCGCAAGATTATCAGCTTTTGAAAAGTCAAAAGTATCAAGTTGTGGATGATAATCATAATTGACAAAAAAATGTGTTTGTTTTGTAGAAGAATGTACCATATTATTATAAACAAATTCTGCCAATGACAAAAGAGTTGTCCAATCATCTTGTTGGTAGTTGATGGTATATCTTAAATACTGCTTCAAAACTTGATTAACATACTCTGTTTGTCCATCAATTTGAGGATGGAATGCCAAAGATAATTTTATATCCACTTTTAGAATCTTGAAAAGAGTCAACCAAAATCTTGATACAAACTAATTTCCCCTATCTGATATAATATCCTTGGATAATCTATGATAGCAATAGATATTGTCAAGAAAGAGCTTAGCTATTTCTTCACTTGTGATATATTTTGTACATGGTACAAAATGTGCCATCTTGGTGAAATGATCTACTATCACAAATATAGAGTCATAAGAACCTAAGATTGGAAGATCTATGATGAAATCCATAGAAACAAAAGACCATGGTTGTTTTGGAATGGATAATGGCTCAAGAAGTTTGTAAGGTCAATGACGAGGAGTTTTTGATCTTGAGCAAACATTACAAGATTGTACAAAATCGTTGATTGCCTTACACATTAGGGACCACCAAAAATCCCTGGATATTAGTTTCAAAGTTTTATTGTACCCAAAATATCCTACTGCTTGAAAGTCATGACGAGCTTGAATAATATGAAATTGAGCTTCACCTTTTAGAACATATAGGCATCCCTCAAAATATAGTAGATTGTTCTTGAATTCAAACTTGGAAGTATCATGAGACTTTGAAGGATTTCCTTTAATATCATAAATAAGAGGATTAGAAGACATACTTGATTGAACTTGTTTAATAAAAGTTAAATCAACAATTAGTATTGATTTTATTATTCAAAGATG